CATCTCCACTTTACCGCTGAGGAAACTGAGGTACAGAAAGCGGAGGTTCCTTGTGAGGAAGCAGTGGCATCAGGGACCAGACTGCTGCGTCCTCCTTCCCGTGGCCCCCAGCGCTCTGCTTGCCGGTCTCCAGCCTCGGCTTCTTTCTGGCCCTTCCCCCTCCCCAAAAGCCATAGAGACTGAGCTGCTGCTCCAAGGTCACTCAGCTTGGCCTGGGAGGAGCTCAGACTTGAACCCAGGCCCCTTGGCTCCTGGCCTCCCTCCCTCTCTGGCCAGCAGGCTGGGCCTGTTCCCCGGATGAGTCATGCCCCTGGACTTTGGCCTCCTTGTCAGCTCTGTGGCCTGAATTTGGAGAGGGGGCCGGCATGAGGACCAGGGGCTCCCCTGCAAGAGTGCAGGTCTGAGGCTGTCCTCACACTCCCTCCTCAGTCCTGGGCCCTGAGGGCATGGTGACAGCAACCCCCAGTCTGCCCCCCACCCACCCACCTCTGCCAGGTCTTAGAACAGCCCCTCTGGTGTCAGCAACAGCTCGTTCTGCCCCTTCCCCAGATAACTACATTCAGTTAGAAACAGGGCCGGGGTGGCAGCCCGGGGAGCGTTTCCAGGTTGTCTGCGTGGCCAGGCACCTTCCTTCCCAGCACTGGTCTCCAACAGCACCAGGCAGCCAGGTTACCCGGGAGGGAGGCCACAGCGCCTCCCCTCCTGGTGTCCAGGGACCAAGGTCACGCCCAGAGCCCTGTGCGCCTCCACCTCCTCCTGGGGCCAGTGGTGTTTATCACTGGGGCAACATGCGGCTGTGCCCGGCTCTGGCAGTGCTGGGGTGACATTCATGCCCTGTGAGCTGTGACGCCTCTGCAGGCAGAGGACAGCACCACCCAGGCTGGCGACAGTGATGGGGGAGCAGTGAGGGTGGGTTGTCACCTGTTCCGAAGCAGTTGGGGGAGGGGGTTGATATGCTGGGGGCCTATACAGCAGTCTGAAGGGAGGACTCACGGGGAAGGGGTGAGGTTGTGGGCGGGGGTGCTCTGTGCCTTCCTCACACCTGGAAGGTGAGGCTTGTCTGTGTGTGTGTGTGTGTGTGTGTGTGAGAGAGAGAGAGAGAGCGAGCGTGAGGTTCTCTGCATTTCACATCCCATCAGTGGGTGTAGGAGCGCCCAGCTACATGTTAGTTACATCACGGCGAGGGCGACAACCTGTGCGTCCCTGTCTCCTGTTGTCTGGGGCCATCAGATGTGCCCCTGTCACGCTTTGGGGGAAGTGACAGGTTATGTACTCTGCTCATCCTGTTAGGAGGGTAGTTACCAACCCACACGCCCGTCTCCGACTGTTGGGTATGTGTGAGATGTCACCATGTGCCCATCTCACGCTGTTGTGGGGAGTGACATGTGTGATTATCTCATGCTGCTGGGAGGTTGTCAGTAACTTGGGAGCTTGTCTCTCACCCTGAAGAGACAACATGTTGCCCAGTGGTACGGGGCCCACAGTCAGCGGGGCCTTCCCGGGCAGGCCACAGGGCCCCCAAAGGGCTGGCCAGGGGAAGCATTCAGAGCCGTGAGCACAGGGACGAGGGTGGGTTGGGGGGGGAGGGGGGTCTGAGTTCCACATGACCTGCCTTCTGACCCATGTGCCAACCCTCGGGACTATTTCCCAGAAGGAAGGACCCAGTGTTTTTCAGATGATGTGGCAAGCGACCTCTGGGGCTGGGATAGGGATGACTGGGGAGGTGGGGCACCAGGCAGGGTTGGCATGAGGGGGGGTCTGTGTCCCTGCAGATGTGGGGGGACCCCAGTCCCTGCCTCTTCTGACCCTGAAACTGTTAAACTAATTAAGGCTGTGGAGCCGCAGGATTAATCGGGGCAGCTCAGCGCGGGCCGGGAGCTCAGGTAGTCGATTAGTGCGCCGCGGAGGATATTGGATTTCTGAACCGCAAGTCAGCACTATTCGGCCTGTTATCTCGCCGAGGCTCGAGGGTCAGGAGGCGGGAGGCTCCGGGCGCGCTGGCCGCCCCCGCCCAGCCAGCTCTCTGCGTCCACTCCCCCTGCCCACAGGCCGCCGGGGCCATGTCCGTGCCCTCACGAAGTCCCTCTCCAGGTGTGCCCTGCATCTCGGCCCCCTGTCACCCTCCCGATCCCTTGACCAGTGCCGATCTCCCTTCTCTGTCCCTCGTTGTCTCGCTCACACTCTGCGCCTAGGGACACCCACTCCTGGGCCTCTGACCAGCCTCTCCACCTGCGTCCCCACCTCCCTGTCCGCTGCGGCTGTCCCCCACCCTCTCTGTGAGCCCCTCCCCATCACCAGCCTCTGCCTCTCTTGCTTTTGTGTTCTTGTGTGCCTGTCACACAGTTTCTGCCCATCACCGCCTGTCTCTGTCTCATGTCTCTGTCTCAGTTTCTCTCCCTCTGTGTGTCTGTGTATCTTTCTCTGTCCCTCTCTGTCTTTTCCTTTCCCTCTGGGGTTCAGTCTCCCTCTCTCTCCCTCTCCCTCTCCCTCTCCCCCTCCTCTCTCTCTCTCCTCTCTCTCTCTCTCTCTCTCTCTCTCTTCCTCTCTCTCTCTTGTGTGGTCTCGGCTGGTGTCTGCAACCAGAACAAATCTCCCCCAGCCAACACCCCCTGAACAAGGAGGCCAGAGCAGCTAATGGGAAACATGTGATTCTGCCTTGCGCCTGGAGCACCGTGAAGGGAGCCTTAGTCCCAGCTCAGCCCCCTTGTGCCCCCCCGCTGCATTCCCCCCACCACACTGCCCCCACTCCCAGCATCTCCCCCAGCCTGTGTGGGCACGGTTGCAAGTTCCCCATTTATTCCCATTTCAGGGGGTGGGGGGGGGAGCTGGCATTTATCAGTTGGGGAGTATCAGGTTGTGGAGGGGCTGGGAGCAGCTTTGCTCCTTAGGTCCCCCCAGCCCGCAGGGCCAGGCAGACCCCATGCAGACTCCCACCCCCCCCACACCATATGTAGAAGAACAGGGCCAAGATGAGCTGAGCTGTGGGGGCCTGGATGGGGGGCAGTCAGTCCACCCCCACTGGAGGGCTCTGGGGCCACCCAGATTTCCATCTTTTCCGGCCTCCTGGGCCTCTGGAGAGCTGCAGCGGGGGGGTGGGGGGGGACTCCCAGAGGGCTTGGGAGCTGCCGGGCTGCATTTCTGTGCCCACCCAACCACGGGGAAAGGGGTGGGGGGATCAGAGGAGAGAGGCTCTGGCAGGTTGGAATTCTCCTTCTCTGCCTGTGGATAAATTGTCCCTAATCCAGGCTTGGGGAGTTGTCTGGCTCCTACAGAGAGAGAGAGAGAGAAAGAGAGAAGGCAGGAGATAGGAGGGAGGAGGGAAGCAGGCACACAAACACAGTGACACAGACACACACTGTTTCACAAAGGGTCTCGCATGCAGCGCACATGCACACAGACACGCACTGAGGAGTCACACAAAGGTACCGCACCAGCACCGAGGCACTGTTGTGCTGACAGGCACACCGTGGCACACAGAGCCTCGCACACATGTTGACACTGACACATAGCTATCTTGGCACACCCACACAGTGATGCGGCACACGGACCTGCTGACACACACAGGCACACAGTGATGAGGTTACACAACACGCGCGCGAGTGGACACACGCACCAGCGTGTAGCCACCCACAGCACAGCAGACCCACGGGGACACCACGACCAGACACACAGTCACACTGTGACCCCGAAAACCCAGAAAAAGGCAGAGGTAGGAGGGAGGTAACACTGATCCACAGTGACACCGGTGCCCGCAGTCACAGGCCTCGAGATTGGAAACCTGCAGGGACAGCAGAGGATCAGCCGCACGCCTCCCGCCCCCCCCACCCCCACACACACATCCAGAGAGCTCTGAGACAGGCAGAAGCCGGTTCCGCTCCTGACACAGCGCGATGCAGAGAGCCAGGCAGAGCCTGTGCGCGCGCGCACACACACACACACACACACACAGGCACACTCAAACCCGACCACAGCTGGGGTCAGGGTGCTTGCACAAAGGCGACACACATTTCTGTGTCCTCATAGCGTGCAAACAGGCTCAGCTGGACACATACACAAAGCTGAAGAGAGCCAGATCCACAGTCACACGTATAAGTGAAGATACAGAACCCAGGTACACATCAGCCTGACACACACACACGGCTGACCACATACCTCAGCAAACCCAGGGGCCTATGGGTATACACTCTTCAACACCTATGTGCACACACAGACATTTAGAAACACACAGAGGCCAAGTAGACCCAGGAGCCCACATGCAGGTGTATTTACCCAGACAGCTGAACATTCACAAACGTTCATTTATACAGGCACGATCTCTACCACACATACAAATTCCCAGGCAACCAGAACCTGTGAGCAGTCCATGAGGCCTGGTTCCCAGACCCCCTCTGGGCTCCAGTACAGACCTCGGGGAGGCAGACGAATGGGCAGGAAGCAGGAGGGTGGTGAGAAGGGCCATGGTTATTAAAGAAAACAAGAGACATAACCAGTTGCTGATGGGAGAGGAGTACACGCCAGCTGCATATACACCCTGTGTGGAAATCTGCATTCACCATCGCTTTGAGCAGCAATTCTCACACCTGCATTATAAGTAAGCTGTTAGCATACACAGTTTCCCCAAAGCGTTCCTCCCCGTTAGTAAGATCTCCCCATTTTGTAGATGAGAAAACCAAAAGCCAGAGAGGTGAATTGACTTGCCCATGATCACACAGTGAGGGTTGAACCAAGGACTGACTCTCAAAGGTCAGGATCTTTCCACCGTAACGTGCATGTTCATGTTCATGTTCACACATGCGCGTACCTGCATATACAAAGATAACTGCTTCCCAGTAGCTACCTGGGGTTTCAAGAGACGGGTTTGCAGCTCCCCGGTGAAGTGAGGTTGTACCTGGTTTCATTTTTTGCAGGCGTGGACCCCATCTGGGATCGCCTCCCGGTCCCTCGAGCTGCCTCAGCCCATAACTGTGCTCAACCCTGGGGTGTTGTGTTTGCTTCCGCAGATGGGAGCGTGCCTACCTGTCTACCCATTGGCCTGGACCCCAGAGCCTGCCCAGCTAAGTGCGTGCAGAGGGCCCCGGTTTCGGGGCAACTCTCAGGCCGCCGCAGGGACTACCCTGGAATCACTGGCGAAGACAGGCCTTTCCTGCTGAGTCGGACCTTGTCTACACAGCCTGCTCAGGTAACAGTGTACAGGGAAGCCAGGTCTTTGCCTGGGCCGTCACCAGGAAGTGAAGATCAGGGGGACTTGTTTCGCAGTTTTAGCAGGAATCCACCCCCGCCCCTCCCAGCTTAGGCCAAAAAGAGGCCCTTGGTAGAATCGAACTGTATTAACCCAACTTACTCAAAACTCCCCCATTATTCAGAAATGGGAGCTGAGGCCCATGGATATACAGCAAGTCCTGCCTCTAGTCTGGGGACTCTTCCGGCACTTTGTTGACATGAGAAACTGGGAAGAGAAAGGGGTTGTGACAGTGACCCGAACTCAGGGCAGAGATGGAAACCAGAGTGCCTGAGGTGTGCAGCTGAACCTCCCCTGCCCCCTCCCCCACAACCTCCACTGGAGTTTGTGGAAACAGAGCTGGGAGGCCAAGGTGAGGTGCTGGGAGGCCCGGGTAGTTCAGGTATGCTGGGGTACCCTCATAAGATAAGGTGGGGTGGGGGGTGCTACCCGCCTCCCCGTCCCTGGCCTGGATTGGCCCACCCAGGCTCTAGAACCACAGAGGCCAGGTGGGGCTGCCCTGCCCTGAAGAGGCAACTCCCTGAACTGACACACGAAGCCTCAGCCTCGGGGCTCCAGGAAGCTCCCTAGAGCCCAGCCTGCCTGGGGACTCCACCCAACTTCCAAAAGAGCATTCCTGGGGCCTGAGGTCTGGGGGTGGGGCCTCCTGGGATGGTTAGGGTGGGAGGTGTGGCTGTGGGAGCATGCAGGGCTGTGTGTACCCCACTGTAAATGCCCAGGGCATCTCGTGTGCCAGCACTCAGGTTGTGTGCAAACAGGTGTGTGTAGGGCTCTGCCCTTAGGTACGCAGGGTTCTGTATCCGGGAGTTAACCAAGCGGACTGGGCTGAGGGACATTCAGGGGCTGGGCATGCACTACATACGAGTGGTGAGTGTGCTGGGTTCAGAGTGTGTACTGGGTAGGTGTGGGAACACTGGAGTGTTGTGTGGAGCACGCTGCATGGTGTCTGGGTGCCGGGTGCTGGGGTACAGTGGAGAGGTGTATAGACAAGAGTCTGACACACCGAGGTAATAATGTGGGCACGCCTGGATTGGATGGTGTGGACTGTACATGCAGGGTCTCTCCGCATGTCACCGGGGAAACTTGTGTTCAGGGTTCCGGGTGCACACTTGAGGGTGGTGTGTGCATGTGGCTCCGTTTGTGCTTTGGAGGTGGGCTGGGCAGGCCTTCAGCTGAGCCGGGCTCAGCAGTGCCCAGCCTTGTGGCCAAATCGCTGAAGTCACTTCCTTTCCAGCAGCAACTTTCCAAGAGGAGGAGTTCTTCAGACCTGGGCGGGGAGGGGGGGGTGAAACAAGGAGCTCTCAGGGGAAGGAGGTGGGCGGGGGTGAGAGGCTGTGGGGAGGGCCTAGTGGGGCTGGAGGAGGGGAGTCCTCCGGGAGACAGAAGGAAAGACCAGGACAGGAGTCTGGAAGGGCCAAGGGCAGGAGGGGATGGGGGTGGAGCGGGCCGGAAAGCACAGTCCCTGGGTGACCTCGGAGGGAGGAAGGGAGGGCCGCCCGGCAGGGTGACCCTCAGGTTCAGCCAGAGCTGGCGGTGGTGCCCACAACACCTGGCACCCAGGGCAGGGGGCTGGCAGGGGGCGGAGTCTAGGGAAGACCTGCTTGCCAGGTGCCCTGCTCTGGGCAGGAAGAGGGTGGGCGAGGGCTGCACAAAGGAGCTCTGTGTGGCTGGGGGTAGGGTGGGGTGGGGTGTGCTATACCGTGGGGGGGGGGGACTGATGACTCCAGGAGGCCAGGCGGGACTTGCTTCCCCTTGGGGGCATCAGTGGCTCTAAGGGGACACCTAGTGGCAAGGGAGGGTAGTGCATTTGGATGACTGAGGTGGGAGGGGGTAGATTAGAAGTCAAAAATGGGAACTGGTGATGAGGATTGGGACTGTTGGAACAGGCTGCAGGGGAGGGGGCTCACTCTCTGGACAGTGAAGAAGTTTGCATCAAAGGAGCTCAACAAACCTAAATTCAGCCTCCAGCCCTTCCATGTCCTGGCTGTTTATCTTCAAGGGCATTACTTAACCTCTCTGTGTCTTTATTTAAGTGCCAAATAAGTGACAGCTGCCATTATTATTTTCATCATTGTTCTTTTTAGTAGGATTTGGGGCTGGAGTCTGGTTGGAAGAGACTCTGGACACTGTTGGGTAGGTGGGAGGGGGCTGAAGGAGATTGAGAGGGGGGCTGCAGATCCTGGGGGATAAAGGCCCCAAGGGAGGTGATGGGGAAGGGCTCACAGAAGTAGTAATAGCCCCTTTGATGCAGTGTTTTCCCTCTGAGGACATCCCTGGGCCTTCAGTCCAGGCTGGGAGGGAAATGGTGCGTGTGTGGTAGGGAGGAGAGTGCCGGCTGGAGAGAGGGTCATGAGGCCGGAAGTGAGAGCTGGGGCTGGCAGCCTGGCTCCCCTGGGGAGGCTGTGGGTGGGGGAGGGGGAGGCGGGCTGGGGAAGGGGTGGGGTGGTCACAGCCGCAGCAGCAGCCGGGGAGGGTGGGGCTGGGGACTCAAGGATGTGGGCTGGCGCTTCCCGGCACTGTGCACAGCAGGTTGGGGCCCCCAGCCCCCTCCCAGCCAGTTGGTGTCCCCATGGGCAGGCTCAGACACACTGACCCAGAAGCAGACTGTCAGACAGAAGGACCCTTTTGACTCTGTTCACAGACACGGGATAGGTGGTGCCCTTGGGAGGGGTCCAAGAAAATGGCTGCCTGGGTGTGGTGAGGAGGGGAGCCAGCTGCTTCTCTCAGATCCTGGAAGCTGCAGGAGAGAGAGAGAGAGAGAGAGAGAGAGAGAGAGAGAGCAGTGGACAGAGTCAGGAGGTCTGGCAGGAGGACATGCCCAAAGGTCTCCACGGGTGGGTGGAACAGAAGCAACCAGTGGAAAGGAGGTTTTCTCTTCTGCCAAGATCACACCCTTGGGCCCCTAGTGGGAGGTCTCCAGAGCAGGGAGGCTTGGTGAGCCCCACCCTCAGGAAGGGAGACATCTCAAAGACTCTCAGGAGCCACGGGTCAACCATACCACCGTTGGAAATAGGACTCAGAGATTCCAGAGTCTGAGCCCCTTCCCTCCTTTGTGAGGCTGTTACCTTGTGAGGTTGTTAGCCACAGTCCTTCCTGCAAGACCAACGGTTGAGGGAGCCTGGCCTGGGAGGGGCCAGCCCACAGTCTACCACCAGGCCTGGGAGAGAGCAGGACCCTGCATGATGGAGTAGGCAGGGCAGCGAGCAGCAGCCGGGGCCTGGGAACTGCAAAGAGAAAAGGGAAAGCAGACAGAGGGATGTTTTCTGTCAGGATGAGCAATAGAAGGGCTCTCTCCGTGCTATTTTGTGGCCTCGGGCAAAGTCCCTTTCCCTCTTTGGATCTCAGTTTCCTCATCTGTAAAATGGGCAGAGTACAGGGTGGCACTAGAACAGTGTACCCCTGGGGGAGCTGATTAAAAATACAGATTCCCAGATGTCCCTTCCGATCCGTGAGTCAGACTCCCCTGGACCAGGGCCTGGGTATCTGGAATGTTACACAGCTCCCCAGGCCCAGGGTTTGGAAGCCAAATGGCTTGGCGATTTTAAGGTTCCTCCCAGCCTTAAATTAGACCACAGCTCTAGAAGAAGGAGTGGCTGAAGGAAAGTTGCAGGAGCTTTGGAGGGGAAGGAGACTTCAGACTTAGGGCAGAATTAGGAATCCTGCCACTTATGCAGCTATGTGACTTCAGGCAAGTTCCACAACCACCCCTCTGAGCCTGCCTCCTCTGTAACACGGGGATCGTGGGTTGCCGGGAAGATTCCGTGGGTCATATGTGTGGAAGTGCTTTGTAGATTGCAAATCGCTGCCCACCGCAAGGGAGTGAAAGAATGTTCCTTTCCACACCATCCTGTCCCTGAGCCGGCTCTGTAGTCTTCCTGTGGGATGACAGCACTGGGCAGGGTGGCAGCTGGGAGGGGCCTACATGTGGCTGTGGGGGGTCGACCCGTGGGATCAGGTCAGAGCCAAACACTAAGGAGTGATTGGGGTCCATCTTTTAAGACCCTTCCCATGGTCAGGGCTCTGAGTCCCCAGGCTCCCTTGGGAGGCAGACATGCCTGGATTTAAATCCCAGCTCTGCCCTGACCAGCTCAGGGAGTCAATCAGTAAATATTTACGTAGCATCCAAAGACCCAGCCCTGGGGTCCGGGGATACAGTGGTAAACAAGACGGATGTAGTCCCTGCCCGTGAAGGGCCCACGCTCTGAGGGGGGAGACACACCAAAAAGCCAGTTATACAAGTAATAGTTTGCAGTTGCAGTAAATACTGTGAAGGGGGAAGTAGAGGCGACTCTTGAGAGTAGATAGCAGGGACCGGACTGTGGCCAGAGGTGCATGGGGCCAGCGGAGGGTCAGAGAGGGTCTCTGACAGAGGTGAGAGAGGGGTCAGACAATGTCCCTTTCCACATTCTTGTCTCTCGCCCTCCCTCCATGCCCTTCTTGGGTTCCACTTTGGATCTAGAGTGGAGTGAGAGAGAACCACATGGGAAAAGGCAGGGCCCACTGCTCTGTGCACCTCGTTCATTCCTTCATAAGAAGTAGGAAATATTTTTTGAAGTGTGCCCATGGGCCGGGGGCCGATCCGGGTGTTGGACCTGGAAGCACCTTCGTGGTTCTCACCGCCTCCCAGGAGATGGTTTCCCCATCTGTAAACGTGGGGATGGTAATCACACTGAGCTCAGGTTTGCAGGGGGGCTTGGATGAGATCATCCACAAAAAGTGCTCATTAGCCCATCATCTGGCCACAGAGAAAGTGTCCCCAGAGTGTGAGCTTTTGTTGTTGTTGACTCCCTGGCATGACTGTTAAACCTCTGACCGGAGGCACTCTTCGCTTTTTCTTTGCAGCTCTTATCCCAGTAATAATTAAATCAGTTCTGATTATGTGATCACTGTTTGTCTGCCCGGTCTTTGTGCAAAGTAGGCACTCCATAAATAATGAGTAAATGTGAATGAATGACGTGACTTCATCTCTGAGCCTCCATTTCTTCATCTGCAAAATGGGGCTATTAATAGCCCCTACCTCGCAGGATTTGTGTGAAGAATTAAATGACACGATGCCTGGACAGCTTCCAGCCCAGCGCCTGGCGCGCAGTAGGTGCTCACTAAACCTGAGCTGCGGTGGTCCTTTCCAGGCGCTGTCCACGCCCCGAGGCCTGGGCTCAGGCCGAAGCTGCTCCCCAGCACCCCCAGCTGACAGCCAGCAACCGGCAGAGCCCCCAGGCACGGGGGCCCTCTCTCTCCCAGGTCAGCCGGGCATGTGCCCTTGGAGGGAGCGCCGAGGGAGCCGGGGGGCGGTGTGGAGGGGAGACCGGGCCAGCGGGCAGTGGTCGGGCTGTGGCCGCCAGACCCCCATTCAGATCCCCTTTTGCCTGTCTTGTCGCCCACAGAGATCTCCGGTGTGACAGCCCAGGCGGCAGAGCCGAGGGTGAGTGGCCAGGCTTCTCCCGGAGCCTTGGGGACGAGGGCAAGAGGGAAGAGGCCATGCCCTTGATAGGATTAACTGGCCCTCTCCTTAAGTTTGATCTGGAGTGGCCACCCCAGCCTGCCGATGGGCCTCCCTCTCGAAGGCAGACATCCCCTTCTCCTGAGCCCATAGCCAAGGTCTAACAGTGGGTGAGCTGTTGTTAATTAGTAGAAGTGGGGCCCCTGAGGGGTTCATGGTGCATGGGGTAGTTTGGGAGAGGCTGGGAGTCAACAAGGACACGGGGCTTGAGGGGACGCATGGCACAGGCGCGGGGGCTCACTGAGGGTGTGGGAAGCTGAAGAAGGTCTTGGACATTCCGGTGAGGGCTCTCTTGCCTGTCCTGCCCGGCAGGTCTTGGTCCCGGCTTCTCGCACCCTCATGTCAGCCCCGGCCCCGCCCGGCGGCCCGCGGAGGACAAGGTCAGGATGCGTGTGAAGCCCCAGGGCCTGGTGGTGACTTCCAGTGCCGTGTGCAGCTCTCCTGACTACCTCCGGGAGCCCAAGTACTACCCCGGCGGCCCCCCTACCCCACGGCCCTTGCTTCCCACCCGGCCCCCCGCCAGCCCACCTGACAAGGCCTTCGCCCACACCTTCTCCGAAAACCCACGCCCGCCCCCACGCCGGGACCCCAGCACCCGGCGCCCACCAGTCCTTGCCAAGGGGGACGACCCGCTGCCCCCAAGGGCAGCCCGTCCCATCTCGCAGGCCCGCTGCCCCATACCCGCCGGAGACGGCAACAGCTCCCGACGTCGCTGGGACAACGGGCGGGTGAACCTGCGGCCAGTGGTGCAGCTGATTGACATCATGAAGGACCTGACGCGGCTCTCCCAGGACCTGCAGCACAGCGGCGTGCACCTGGACTGTGGCGGCCTCCGACTCAGCCGCCCACCTGCCCCGCCTCCTGGCGACCTTCAGTACAGCTTCTTCTCCTCACCCAGCCTGGCCAACAGCATCCGCAGCCCTGAGGAGCGGGCCACCCCCCATGCTAAGTCTGAGAGGCCCAGCCACCCGCTGTATGAGCCTGAGCCCGAGCCGAGGGACAGCCCCCAGCCTGGCCAAGGCCACAGTCCCGGAGCCACGGCCGCGGCCACCGGTCTGCCCCCGGAGCCCGAGCCAGACGGCCCCGATTACTCGGAACTAGCTGACGCCGACATCCTTAGCGAGCTGGCCTCCCTTACTTGCCCCGAGGCCCAGCTGCTGGAGGCCCAGGCCCTTGAGCCGCCATCTCCTGAGCCAGAGCCTCAGCTCCTGGACTCCCAGCCCCGCTTCCTGGACCCACAGGCTCTAGAGCCGCTCGGGGAAGCTTTGGAGCTGCCGCCCCTGCAGCCACTTGCTGACCCCCTGGGGCTGCCAGGCCTGGCTCTCCAGGCCCTAGACACCCTGCCCGACTCCCTGGAGTCGCAGCTGCTTGACCCTCAGGCACTTGACCCCCTGCCCAAGTTGCTTGATGTCCCTGGCCGCCGTCTGGAGCCTCAGCAGCCCCTGGGGCCCTGCCCACTGGCCGAGCCCTTGCGCCTGGACTTGTGCTCACCCCATGGCCCCCACGGGCCTGAGGGGCACCCCAAGTACGCCTTGCGGCGCACTGATAGGCCAAAGATCCTGTGTCGCCGGCGGAAAGCTGGGCGGGGACGCAAGGCAGACGCCGGACCGGAGGGCCGCCTGCTGCCCCTGCCTATGCCCACAGGGCTGGCAGCTGCCCTGGCCGAGCCCCCGCCACCACCCCCTCCACCGCCTCCTGCCCTGCCAGGCCCAGGCCCAGTCCCAGAGCTGGAGCCAGAATCCTCCCAGACTCCAGTGGCCCCTGCCCGCAAAGGCAAGTGCCGGGGTGTGCGGCGCATGGTGGTGAAGATGGCCAAAATCCCGGTATCGCTGGGGCGGCGGAACAAGACCACATACAAGGTGTCGTCCTTGAGCAGCAGCCTCAGCGTGGAGGGCAAGGAGCTGGGCCTGCGCGTGTCAGCAGAGCCCACCCCGCTGCTGAAGATGAAGAACAACGGACGGAACGTGGTGGTGGTCTTCCCGCCCGGGGAGATGCCCATTATTCTCAAGCGTAAGCGCGGCCGCCCTCCCAAGAACCTGTTGCTGGGCCCTGGCAAGCCCAAGGAGCCAGCGGTGGTGGCGGCCGAGGCGGCCACTGTGGCGGCCGCCACCATGGCCATGCCAGAGGTGAAGAAGCGGCGGCGGCGGAAGCAGAAGCTGGCCTCTCCCCAGCCGTCCTACGCAGCAGACGCCAATGATAGTAAGGCCGAGTACTCTGACGTCCTCGCCAAGCTGGCCTTCCTGAACCGCCAGAGCCAGTGCGCTGGGCGGTGCTCACCCCCCCGCTGCTGGACACCCAGCGAGCCCGAGTCGGTACACCAGGCACCCGACACCCAGAGCATCTCCCACTTCCTGCACCGGGTGCAGGGCTTCCGGCGGCGTGGTGGTAAAGCAGGCGGTTTTGGTGGCCGGGGTGGGGGCCACGCAGCCAAGGCAGCCCGGTGCTCCTTCAGTGACTTCTTTGAGGGCATCGGCAAGAAAAAGAAAGTGGTGGCGGTGACAGCTGCTGGCGTGGGGGGTCCCAGCCTTGCTGAACTGGGACACCCACGTAAACGGGGCCGGGGGGAGGTGGATGCCATGACTGGGAAGCCCAAGCGCAAGAGGCGGTCCCGGAAGAATGGGACTCTGTTCCCGGAACAGGTGCCTAGCGGCCCAGGCTTCGGGGAGGCAGGTGCCGAGTGGGCTGGGGACAAGGGCGGTGGCTGGGCCCCTCACCATGGACACCCAGGTGGGCAAGCCGGCCGAAACTGTGGGTTCCAGGGGACCGAGGCCCAGGCCTTTGCCTCCACTGGGCTAGAGAGCGGGACTTCGGGCCGCGGCAGCTACTACAGCACAGGGGCCCCTGCGGGCCAGACCGAGCTCAGCCAGGAGCGCCAAAACCTCTTCACCGGCTATTTTCGCTCCCTGCTCGATTCGGATGACTCCTCCGACCTCTTAGACTTTGCCCTCTCAGCCTCTCGCCCCGAGTCCCGGAAGGCATCAGGCACCTACGCAGGGCCCCCCACCAGCACCCTGCCTTCCCAGCGGGGCCTGGCCACCTTCCCCAGCCGGGGAGCCAAGGCCAGCCCAGTGGCCGTGGGCAGCAGCGGGGCTGGTGCAGACCCCTCCTTCCAGCCGGTCCTGCCCTCTCGCCAGACCTTCCCGCCAGGCCGGGCAGCGAGCTATGGGATAACTCCGGCCACTTCCGACTGCCGGGCAGCTGAGACCTTCCCGAAACTGGCGCCCCCACCCTCAGCCGTGGCCCGCTCACCTACCACCCACCCGCCCACCAACACCTACCCACCCCAATATGGCGGCTATGGGGCTGGACAAAGCGTTTTTGCCCCAGCTAAGCCCTTTACGGGCCAGGACTGTGCTAACAGCAAGGACTGCAGCTTCGCCTACGGCAGCGGCAACAGCCTGCCTGCCTCTCCCAGCAGCGCCCACAGCGCCGGCTACGCCCCACCGCCTACTGGGGGCCCCTGCCTGCCACCCAGCAAGGCCTCCTTCTTCAACAGCTCTGAGGGGGCCCCCTTCTCTGGTTCAGCCCCCACACCCCTGCGCTGTGACAGCCGGGCCAGCACCGTCTCCCCCGGCGGCTACATGGTACCCAAGGGCACCACCGCCTCTGCCACTTCCGCTGCCTCTGCCGCCTCCTCCTCCTCCTCCTCCTTCCAGCCCTCGCCTGAAAACTGTCGGCAGTTTGCGGGGGCTTCTCAGTGGCCTTTCCGGCAGGGCTACGGAGGCCTGGACTGGGCCTCGGAGGCCTTCAGTCAGCTCTACAATCCCGGTTTCGACTGCCACGTCAGCGAGCCCAACGTGATCCTGGACATCTCCAACTACACGCCCCAGAAGGTGAAGCAGCAGACAGCCGTGTCTGAGACCTTCTCCGAATCATCCTCCGACAGCACCCAGTTCAATCAGCCGGCCGGCGGCGGTTTTCGGCGTGCCAACAGCGAGGCCTCGAGCAGTGAGGGCCAGTCGAGCCTGTCCAGCCTGGAGAAACTAATGATGGACTGGAACGAGGCGTCCTCTGCCCCCGGCTACAACTGGAACCAGAGCGTCCTCTTCCAGAGCAGCTCCAAGCCGGGCCGTGGACGGCGGAAGAAGGTGGACCTGTTCGAGGCCTCACACCTGGGCTTTCCGTCCTCCGCCTCGGCCACTGCCTCAGGCTACCCATCCAAACGGAGCACCGGGCCCCGGCAACCACGGGGCGGACGGGGCGGTGGGGCCTGCTCGGCCAAGAAGGAGCGAGGCGGTGCCGCAGCCAAAGCCAAGTTCATCCCCAAGCCGCAGCCAGTCAACCCCCTGTTCCAGGACAGCCCAGATCTTGGCCTGGACTACTATAGCGGAGACAGCAGCATGTCGCCCCTGCCGTCCCAGTCGAGGGCCTTTGGTGTGGGTGAGCGAGACCCTTGTGACTTCATGGGGCCCTACTCCATGAACCCGTCCACCCCTTCTGACGGCACCTTTGGCCAAGGCTTCCACTGCGACTCGCCCAGCCTGGGTGCGCCCGAGCTAGACGGCAAGCATTTCCCGCCGCTGGCCCACCCGCCCACGGTGTTTGATGCTGGCCTGCAGAAGGCGTACTCCCCGACCTGCTCACCCACGCTGGGCTTCAAGGAGGAGCTGCGGCCGCCACCCACAAAGCTGGCTGCCTGCGAGCCCCTCAAGCACGGGCTCCAGGGGGCCAGCCTGGGCCACGCAGCTGCGGCCCAGGCCCATCTTAGCTGTCGGGACCTGCCGCTGGGCCAGCCCCACTATGACTCCCCCAGCTGCAAGGGCACAGCTTACTGGTACCCGCCAGGCTCAGCCGCCCGCAGCCCGCCCTATGAAGGGAAGGTGGGTACGGGGCTGCTGGCTGACTTCCTGGGCAGGACGGAGGCCGCGTGCCTCAGTGCCCCACACCTGGCTAGCCCACCGGCCACGCCCAAGGCCGAAAAGGAGCCACTGGAGATGGCCCGGCCGCCTGGCCCACCCCGTGGCCCTGCTGCTGCCGCTGCTGGCTATGGCTGCCCGCTCCTTAGTGACTTGACCCTGTCCCCTGTGCCGAGGGACTCGCTGCTGCCCCTGCAGGATACCGCCTACAGGTATCCAGGCTTTATGCCGCAGGCGCATCCCGGCCTGGGTGGGGGCCCCAAGAGCGGCTTCCTGGGGCCCATGGCGGAACCTCACCCTGAGGACACATTCACCGTCACCTCCCTGTAGTGCCAACTGAAGTGCCGACTGGACCTCGAGGTTTTGTTCCTGGGTGAGTCTGGGGACGCGGGTGGAGTGGGTGGAAGCCGGGAGGGAGGGGCGGCGCTGGGGAGGATGAGGACATTAGAGCTTAGACTAGGGGAAGAGGAACAGCGATGAGCAGGCAGGATTTAAGGACAAGACCAGGGACCTGATACTAGGAAGTTGGGATTCAGGAAGGAGTCTGGGATTAGACGTTGGGGACGGTCTTCAGGAAGGGATGGGGTGCTTGGGTGGGGAAGCCGGCATGAGGCTGGGACGTTCAGTTATTGAAACGGTTGGAGAACCCTAGACTGGACGCGGCCATCTGGTTTGGTTCCATCAGATGTTTATCTTCCTTGTCCATGCCAGGTCCTAGGCAGACACCGGCCGAGTCCCAGGAAATAAATAGCTACCACTCGACCTCTCCCAAGGGAGGGCCATCTTGCATGGCCCTGTGGGAGATGAGTGAAAGGTAAACCAGGGTGATAATTAACTGCCAGGGCCCATCCAGGGTACGGACCCTGCCAGCCTCCCTCATATCTCCGTGAGCTTCGTTTAGTCCGAGACGCCGTCTGGCAAGGGCCAGGCTGAGGGTGTGGTCACTATGTCTTGGTCACACTCTGCTAGGGCTTTACAGAATGGCCGGAAGTATCTTCCCTGGTCTCTCAGGGTGCACCCAAAGATTATCTTTCCATATCTCTGACCTGAGGTGGGCCTGGGGTGCTCAGAGGTAGGCGGGAGGGGAACCCAGAAGTGGAGAAGGGTTGCTGGGATCCTGCTGTGCCTGACAACCTGCACCCAGTGGGTCTGTCCCCAAGCAGGAGATTTCCTGCCTGGAAGAAACTGTCCCTTTCCTGAAGCCCAGTGCCTTTCCAAGAGTTCTGTTCAATTTTGCTAGATGTTTAGGCACTGTGTCCTCATTAGGTGGAGTCCAAAGTTTTAGTATTCTTAAGATTTTGTTTAAGAAAAGGAAAATAAAAGAGGGGAAAGTGCCTCTAAAATGGTAAAAGGAGACAAGGTTGGAGGAATCGTTTCCCTTGAGGCACCGCTGGCTCCAGAAATCCAGCCACAACTGGCCCATCAGATCCCACTATTCGGGCAACAGACTTGTCACAAAACTGGCTCAGATGTGGTAGGTGCTGGGGGAGGGGGCTGGGGGCCTGTCTGAGCCCTTCACCCTCCACCCTCCACCTCTGCTGCCACCACAGCCTCCTGGAGGAGGAATAGCAGGGCTCCTGGAAAGTCCCATGCCTGCTCTGGGGAGGCCATTCGAGGCCAGGGTGACTCAGGGTCCTGAAGTCGTGTCAGTGGAAACTTATCGTCCCCTTTCTGCCTGACCCCACGTCCCTTGGTGCCTGAAGGTGGCAAAGGGCAGCACGTGGGAGTCAGGCGGCCTGGAGAAGGACCATTCCCCCAGTTGGCCATCAACTTGCTGCATGTCCTTGACCACGCTTTTACTCCCTCCAGCTCTGGGCCTCTGTTTCCCCATCTGTTCAAGAAACTTGACTTTGATAATCTTTTAGGTTTTCCAACTCTGCGTGGCATAGACAGTGGACCAAACTTTTTTTTTTTTCTTTTTTTGGCAGCATATTTTCCTCCTAATGAAGCCAGGCCAAGATTAAAATGGCCTCCCATTCCCCATGCGTCTCACTGCAAGCAGTGCCGCAGATCCGAAGCAGGCCAGGGAAGAAGCTGCTTAGGGTTTAAAATGTCAAACTCTTGATCCTTCTCACTGGAGGGGAGATGTCTCATGGATAATCCAGAAATGTGAAATAATCCCAAAACCGTTCCTCCTGGGCCCTGGGTGGGAAAATAAATGAATGTGGGGGCTGGGAGTTTGAGCAGGTCACAGCTCAGTGAGATACATAATGGAACCATCCAGTGAGGCCTGAACACAGGAGGAACCGGGATGCCATCCAGCCCCACATTCTGGCCACGCTCCCTACTCAGGGCTGGGAGTTGACAGCACTGTCCTCAGACTGATGCGTTCAGAGACATCTGTCCAGCACCTGCTATGAACCAGGCATTGGGGGGCACCACAGCGAACACCACAGAGGAGGTCCTGGGCCTCAGGGGGCTTCCAGTTTAGAGAGAAAGACACCTGATAATCATTTGATAGTGATTGCCGTACGAAGGACAGCAAAAGAGGAAAAGCTAGGAGGCCGTGGGAGCCTGCAGCCGGCTGGCCTGAAGGGGCATCAGCTAGACAGGGAGTGGGAAGAACAACGTGGGCAGAGGGAACAGCAATGGGTAAAGCCCTGGGGGCAGGACGGAGCTCAGCTTTGAAGAACTGATAGGAGGGCAGTAACACTGAGCGAGCGGACAGGGCAGGCAGGGCACTGGATGGAGTTGGAACTATATTCCAAGACCAATGGGAACCATTGAGGAATTCTCCACTAGAAGGCTTCCCTCACCCCCCACCCCCCCTCACCCCCCCGCTGCCCAGAGCAAGTATTAGAAGCAATGGTTGAGCTTAGCCTCACATCTTGAGCCCCTCAATACCTGTCCCCAGTACCAGGCAGAGGGGAGACAAAGCAGACATGGCTCCTGTCCTCAGAGCTCAGTATCTATCCCAAGAAGCTAAACTAGTACACAAAGACCCTGAAAACACCCGGTGGAAAGTGGCAGGTGCCCAGACGTAGGGAGAAACCAGGAGGGTGGGTGTTAGGTACAGAAGTCATTGTTCAGAATTTTGGGTGAAAAAAAGGAACACATACCTGGGCTGGGGCGTCCCGCAACGCCACCTCACTGACCGACCGTCCATGGCAGGCCAGGAAACGGTCGCGCCCTCCCCCTGGCACCCCATCAGAGAACTGAGGAAGCAGGTGCAGCTGTGAACCTTGCCAGGGTATCTGCAGTTAGTGAATAGTGTAGTCAGGATTTGAACCCAGTGCTGCTCCCCCAGAACCTGGGTACCCTGCCATCCCGCTCCCCCTCCAACCCACGCCACTGATTCACCATCCACCAAATGACAGATTGGAAGCTCCCTACGAGTGTTTCTGGGTCTGACATTTTAAATGGATCTTGAGGTTCCATGGAAGAAGCTGCATTTGAGCTTGACCTTGAAAAAGGCAGGATTTGGACAGAGACTTGGAGGGGAAGGGCATTCCAGGCAGAGGGAGCTGTGGGCAAGGGGAGGTCACACCCCACTGTGACCTCTGGGGAGCCAAAGTTGGAAATGTGGGACCCCTTTGGTCAGAGAGCTGAGCTGGTGGGACAGAGAGGGAAGGGGGAGGGGGCTGGGAGCGCGTGGGCACCAGGGAGACTGACTCCACACTGGGCCCTTGTGACTGAAGATCAGCCCTCCCAGACCCTCGGGGTGGGGATGGGATCAGGAAGGTGCTCCAAGGTGCTCAGGAATCTCAAGTCCCCCTGTCCTCCCTGTTCCCTCTCAGGCCTGGACCTGAGGCCAAGAGAAATGTCACAGGTCTTCCAAGGTTACACCAGCCTGGGGCCTGACCGGAGCAGGAAGCAGTTTCCAAGGCCACTAGCCAGCCAGGGTCAGCAGGCATGCCCGGACCTGGGCCAGGCCCCGGCTGCTCTGCGCTTTGTCTCTCTGTGTCTTGAAACCTCAAGAGGTCACTTGATCTTGCCTCTGGCCCCGAGCAAGAAGCCCTCACGTCAGGGGCCAGCCATCTCTGCCCTGCCTCTTGCGGCTTCCTCTGCACGCCGACCTCCCTCCCGTCTTCTTTCTGGCCTCTCCCACAGCCATTTTCAAGCCGGGCCGTCTCATTCTGAGTCCTCATTTCCTGGAAATATAATCTCTCTGTGAACATGCCCTCTCATGCTCCTCCTCTCCCATTTCCCCACATCCCTGTGGACCCGGAAGAACCGCGGGGAGCGAGGCCCTGAAATGGGAGGATGGTGGCACAGAGCAGGCCTGTAGGTGCGGACCAGCCTCTGTGCAGGGCCTGGCTCCATCCCTTACCAGTTACGTGACCTGGTGAGTCACGTCACCTTGCTGCATCCCTTGTAGAATTAATGAGATTACCCAGGAAGCCCTTAGCCCAGTCCCTGGCACACAATAGGCACGTAGTCCGGGGTTGGTAAATGGGTGGATAAATGCCTCCCACCAACTGAATTCTGTCACCCAGTCTGTGTGAGTCACACAACACCTCTGACCCTTTCCTCCTTGCTCTGGACTCTGGAGCCAGGCTTCCTTTACCTGCTGCCCCTGCTACCTCCGAGGAAGGATTTTGTATCTAGTGTGGGTTTGGGGTCTTTGGTGGGAGGCTGTGAAACATCACCTAGTTTTTGGCTGATTCCTCTTGGCGGCGGGGGGTGGGGGGTTAGTTAGTCACAAACTAAGTGACAGCCCCACGCCAAGGGCCCTGAAGCCTCATGGGCAACGGGACCCAGACTTCTCAATGACCCAGCTCAGCTAGAAACCCTTCCCAAGCAGTGCTTCACACCAGGCCGCTCTCCCGGGGCAGGTCATCTGAAAACGATGGCCTTGTGACTCTGTAATGTGAAGTCAGGTTTGCCATCTTTGTTATCATCACTTTTGCTGCCATGGTGCCCTCTGTGCTAGAGGGCAAGGGGAAGTGGGCTCATTCCGTGTTGAACACACGCATGAGCCCGCCACCTGCCCTGGGCCAGGCACTGCAGCTGGTGCTGAGGTCACCACCCAGCAAGACAAGCGCGGTCCTGCCCTCATAGTTTACAGCCTATCAACAGGTGTTTGTTGAAAGCCCCCATGTGGGCATCACTCTCCAGGGCGGGGACTGAAATGGTCCCACCGGATATACCAGGGACCGCTCCCCTTGAACCATGAGCAGGGCAGGCAGCAAGAGCTTCCTGGAGGCAGAAGATGGGCCTTGAACAAATCTGAGGCTCCAGAAGCAGTAACGTTGGGTCAGTGCAACCCATGCCTGCCACATCTCTGCCCCTAGCTCCTGCCCCCAGCCCGAGCCCATTCCCCCATTGGTGGCCACCAAAGTGCTTGGACTTCAGCATTTCTGGATGCCCGGTGTCCAGAGCCCCCTGGATATTTACGGATCAATTCATTCAAACACATGTGCTCCTGTGAATCCATTGCTTAACATCTCTTGATTGCATCCTCTCGTCTCCAGGCTTACAAAATAATGACCCAGTCACCTAGCCTGGCTCTCCAGGTCTTTTTCGTCCCTGACCTCCTTCTCACACACTCTCCCTTTCCAGGAGTGGAATCAGGAGGCTCTCCGGGCCAGCCTTTTCCCCGGTGCACCCTGTGCCTTGCCTCTGGCTGTCTCTGGCCTGGGCTGCTCTTTCCTGCCTACCGTCCGTCTCCCACCTGTCAGTTCCTATCTTTCATTCAGATATCACCTCCTCCAAGAAGTGTTCCAGGATCCTTCCCAGGCCCACTTGATCTCCAGCCTTTTCTGCATCCATGACAGCCCTTCCCGGGAATGTCCTCCTTATCACGTCCTCCTTGGCTCCTTTAGGCTAGTTGCTCGTCTCTGTGTGTTCCCTGGCCTCCCTGGTGTCTCATCATGCCTGGGACATTGTTTTTTTGCCTTGAGTCAAAGAGGAACATGTAGACCATAGAGAATTGAGAGGGAAGGGTGAGCACTGGAAGTGGGTAGGAGACTGTCTCTCACCCCTGCTCTCCTCACATACGTTCCTAAGATGGGGCAAGGGCGGGGTGTATGAATAAATCAACTCAAACTCTGCAGGCTAACTAGGATTTTGGAGTTCTCCAAGTACAATCCCGCCCAGTTTACAGACGGAGGGGGACTCGCCCAAAGATGCCACAGCAGGAAGCATGGAATGACAGAGCCAGGAGGGGCCCTTGGGGATCACTCAGTTACATGCCCAACATACACTCATCGCTAGTGCCTGTCTGCAGAGGTACCTCTGATCAGGAAGGCAGAGAGTGCAGGTGTTGGGGGTAGAGCCTCCTCAGACTGGTAAGCAGCATGCAGCATCAAGGTGGGAGATATAAGGTCACACAAGCTTGGTGGGTGACCATGGATATGAACCCTGTTTGGTGCCCATAGCCTCCCCCTCTATGCCCAACAGTGGAGGAGGTGGGGGAAGGTCCCTAAGGAGGGGATGGCAGGCAGAGCCAGAATTTAAGGAGCGCCTATGGTCACTAGTGGACAGATTTTGAAAACAATGCTCCGGGGTGGGGAAGGGAGCCACACCCCCACCCTACAGCCGGTCTGTCCCGCCAGACTGTCTCCCATCTGTCAAGTGTGGTCTGAGCCCCAGGGAAACATTTGAGGGACTCACAGGCCTGACTTCGCCTGAAAATGTCAGAGGGGGTGGATCAGCCTTCGGGCAGCTGCGGTTTGCCTCTGACCCCCTTTCTTTGGGGCCCAAAGATCTCTCCCATTGCCTGTTCAAGCCTTGATTTTACATAGAAGCTAAAGCCCAGAGAGGGAAAGGGCTTGCCCTGGGTCACACAGCAAATTAGTCTCTCAGACTCCCGTGCATTCTCTGTGCCTTCTGCTCCACTGCCTTGTTTGATGGTGAGACCCCCGTCCTGGAGGGCAGAGACCAGAAGGTGGAGGGTACACCGGGGCTCACGGCCGGCCTGGTGGTTAGTGGGTGTGAATACCTGTCAGCGGGTCACTTAAACAAATACACAAACGTGTGCTCCTTTTGGGGGAAGAGAGCTCTCTGGACAGCCTGATTTCTACCTGATCTGCAGCGCTGTGAATCCTTGCTCAGCTATCCCTCCATGCCCCCAGTGCCAGCCCCTGCTGACCGGCAGAGACCATTTTGTGCCCAGGCACCACAGACGGTAAAACTGCTGGAGCGCGAGGACTCACTGGAACGTGGTTCTGTGGTGGTTCAGTGTGGAGGCGCTAAAAGGTTAAGTCTCAGCAATGGCTGGTGTCCTGGGGCCTCCAGGTGCATGCTGGCACTGGGGGTGTGCAGGTACCACACACAAGTCTCTGCCCTGGAGGAGTGTGGAAGGGAATGACAAGAGGCACCAGTAGCTATGGTAACAGGGTGGTCTAAGGAGGCATCCTGGAGATGTGCAAGACCTGAGCTGGACCTTGACATGCTGATCGGACTTAACACTGGTCGTTGCTCTGGCATTCGGTCAGCGCCCATTCTTGACCCTGGCATGTGCTGGGCACTGTGCTCAGCAGTGACTTGAAGAGCCAGAGTCCCTCCTGCCAAGGCTGGGTTAGGTGCACCCTCTGCACTCCTTGAACCCCGCCCCCACCCCTGTAGCACAGCCCCCATCTCCCTGCCCTGTAATTGCCTGCTTTGGGGTCTGCTTTGCTTCACTCTCTGCTCTGTGAGCCCTTCAAGGGCAGGGGCCAGATCTGTCTCCTCTGCTCTGTCCCCAGTGCCCCCAGCACAGGGCCGCCTGGCAGGACAGCGTTTGGTTCATTTTGTAGAGGTCAGGGTTCGACATGGCTGTAGCATCCTCCCTTCTCCCCACTCAGGAACCTCTCGGTTTGATTCTCCCCCCATCCCCCAGATTCTGGCCCAGTCCCGAAAGCTGGGGAGGACAGAGGGAGGAGGAAGGTGAGACAGTGAGGGCTGAGCAGAGGGTGAGAAAGCCTCCCTGCTGCCTGGCCGCCGGCACCACGGGGGAATGGTTCTGGCAGGAGCTGCCTGCTGGGCTGAGATCACCATGGAGACCTGGCTTGGAGAGGGTCACTGGCAGTGGCTAAGGGCCGGAGGGGGCGGGGGCGACAGGGATTTGTGCAGAGGCTCCCAGCCTGCCCCAGGGCCCTTGAGGGGGTGGGGAGCAGGGAAGTCTGGGGTTTGGTACGGTCCACTTGCTGAGTGGTTTGGAGCAGCTGGTCCAGAATCTCCCCCTCAGTTGTCACCCCAGCGCACTATACCCGTCACCCCAAAGGCGGTTCTTCAGCTGCCATAAGGCTGCTCTACAGATAGGTGCCCCTGGCGCCCCAGCTGAACCCGTTCCGCCAGAGGCAGTAGTCCCAGGCCCTCGCGGGTGCCCTGCTTGTCCCCACAGCTGTTCTTGATGATCACCCTAACGGAGAACTGACATCCACCCCAGCAGCACCCCCACCCCGCGCCTCCAGAGCTGCTCGTCCACCGTTCATCCTGGTTCTAATTCAGCTGCACCCTAACAGGCGCACCCCTTCCCCTCCCGCCTCTGCTTGCTGCCTGCCTGGGTGATGCACCGGGATGGGGGCTGCCCCAGCCTTGTGAGAGCCCACCTGGTTCCCCTGGCCCTGGGGGGAGTCCTGGCAAGTCCAGCTTCAGGACAAAAGTCTTCCCCAGGGCTGACTGCCCAGCAGACAGCAGCCGGGGCTGAGCAGAATTTAAATGTGGCCCTGTTGGGAAGGGAAGCCAAGAAAGGACAAGGGAGGAAAGGTTTTCTGTGGCTGCCGGGTTCCTGCAGGGGTGGGGGAGGGAGGACGGCCTGCTGAGGGGTCTTAGGAGGCAGTTTTAGACCCCCCCCCACCTTAATTCTGGTGGGATGGTCGCTCACGAAGTGCGGGGATGGGAATTTCAGGGCTCTGCGAGGAGGCCAGAACTCCCCAAAGTGCCAGGCTAATGACTGCCGGCCTTGAGAATAACTGAGCCCATCCCTGTCCCTCTGGGCATCTTCCCGCTCGCCCCAGCAAAACCATGGGTTCTGAATGGAGAAGTCTGGAGAGGGGTACTTCAGGCCTCCAATGTCTAGTGATTGCAGAGGCTGGGAACTTCAGAGTTTCTGAGCGGCAGGAGGGCAAGGGGTACAGCCAAACACTGATGGTATTGTGCTGGGCAATTTCTTCATTCCTTTATTTAGACAGACTTCCTCATCACCTCGCGCCTCTATGAGGAACAGAATAGCATTGGAGGGGGCTGAGAAAGGGTTGAAATTAGAAGAAATGAGAGTGCCCAGGTGTGCTCAAGCCCTGTCTTCCCCACTGTGTCACTCCTCAGAACAGCCTCACTTAAAGGAATTCCTAAACTCGTTGGACGAGGAAATTGAGGCTTGGGGCACCTAGCTGGCCCAGGTTCCCGGGAAATAATAATGACTTGTAGTTAGTATGTTTTATGTACCAGGGTTAACCTACCTTAAACCACTGAATCCTCCCAACAAACCTGTGCGATAATTTCATTATCCCCTTTTTACAGATGAATAAACTGAGGCTCGTAGAGATTCACCGACTTGCCCAACGTGATAGAGCTATCCGGTAGTAGTGCTAGCATTTGAACTTGATTGTGTCTGACTCAGGAGCCCAAATGCTTAACAAATTGCACTGCCTGGAGCCCTGACTCCTCTCCTTTACCTCTCAATGGTATGCGCCTTGGATACAAACCTATTTTACACCTAGGGAAACTGAGTTCAGAGAAAGCCAGAAGCAGTCCGTTATCTCACGGCGGGGAGGAGTCCTCTTTGGAGTTTTCTGGGAAAAAGAATGATGTGATTAGCCTCTCCCAGAGTCCTGGTAGGGACCAGTGGGGGTCCCACTCTTAACAGGGGTCCCTGTTCTCAGAATTCCATGTCTGTGCCTACAGCTGACTTCTGCCTCTTTTGTGTTTCTTTGCAGCTTTCAGAAAACCAACGCCAAGACCCCTCCCAGCGTCCACATTGTCCTCTGGCAGGAGCGCCTGCCCCTCTGCCTCCAGCCCCACCCCCTGTACCCCTTGCACTCCCACATCCCCCCACCCCTCCCTGCCCATCTCCTCCACGCAGAAGCCGAAGGTGAGCCCTTTCTGCACAAAACCAGCAATTGTAAATACTTTTTAAAAATGTACAAAACTTAAAAAACAAAACACAGTTTTAGAAAAAGACAAAAAAAAGAGAGAGAGAGAGCGCGAGCGTGTGCAAGAGGTTGCGAGCGGGGCCCCGAGGTGTCCAGAGCCCCTGCAAGTATGCACTGAGAAATTTATCTACAGGTCGTTTGACAAAAATGAACAATATCCTATTTATTGTATATACTGTTTTATTATAAATCGTGGATTGTATATTGCATTCTGTAAACCTGCTGTGGTCCCGTGGTGTGCAAATTCGCATGGTAGGGGGGAGGGAGAAGAACCTCTTGCGGGAGCTTTTTTTTTTTTCTTTCTTTCTTATTTTTCACTCTTTTGGGTTTTCTCTTCTGTTGTTGTTGTTGTTTTCTGTTTTGGCAGGACACACCCAAAGATCCAAGTTTGTATTAAAAAGAAATGAAAAAAAGCAAAAAAAAAAAAAAAACACAAAAAAAACCCCCACCTTGTGTCTTGTGAAAAGGGGGGTGAGTGAGGGTGGATGGAATGGAAGTGGCTGGGTTTTGTCGCCAGGCACTGGTGCCCCAGAGTTGAAATGCCTTCACGTGTTCCTTCCCTCTGAGTTTGTCCCTTCTGGTCCTTGCATTACGCCCCAGATCCAGGAATTCTGCCTGGCCTAGGTCCTGGGTCTCCCTTGATCCTGAGACCTGTCTTCTGTCCCACGCCCCAGGACCCCAAAATACAGGGACGCTTGCATCTAGGACCCCCTGTTCTCCCCCAAGTCCTAAGTTTCCTCTCCCTGAGGGATCCCTGTTATGAATCAGGTCCTGGGTCTCTCCGCTTTGGGGCCCTTCATTCCATCCTAGATCCCAGGTCTCCTGACTCTAGTCCTTCATTTGTACTATGTCACCCCAGCCTTTGGGCCCTACAGTTCTACCCTGGTTCGGGGACACCTGTCTTTGAGATACACATTCTGCCCTAAGCCCAAGAACCCTTATGGGACACACCCCTTCCCGACAAGGACTGGAGTACGCTTGCTTGCGTATCTCCCATTCACCCTAGGTCTTGGGTCTCCTTGGTCTCCAGACCCCCATTTTGCCCCAACACAGCTGCACTTGCACACCTGTGCAAATTCCAGAGTTTGACTAGGCCAGTAACCCTGGTACTTTTTGTTTTTCAATTATTATAAGTTTATTTATTTCGAGAGACACAGAGACAACATGAGCAGGGGAGGGGCAGAGAGTATCCCAAGCAGGCTCCGGGGCTGCCAGTGCAGAACCAGACAGGGGCTCGAACTCACGAAACTGTGAGATCATGATGACCTGAGCCGAAACCAAGAGTCGGAAGCTCAACCGACTGAACCACCCAGGCAGGCGTCCCAGCCCTGATATTTCTGCCTTCCTCTCTCCACCCTGAACCCCAAATCCCAGGTCTGTTTCCTCCCAGCTTTTGTAAACTTTGTATGAAGAAAACCCAATCCTGTGCCTATTTCTGGTGGGCCTGGAAAGGCTAAATTGTCCCCCACCCCCTGACTTTGGGGAGCGCCTGGCTGTCCTTGACCACTTTGGGCTGCCTGGTCTTTAGCAGACAGCTCTCCCCATAGGTCCACTTCATGCTAAAGTTCTGTGGACTGTGGCTCTCTGTGTGTCTCCCCGCTGAACATCAAAGAGATCCCAGGGGATGGCTCTAAACGGCCCAACCACTGAGGCTCAGGCCTTCGGAGAGTCTGAGGAACCCTTGGTGTGAGGGGGAAAGAGACCCCCAGCTTCTGGGGACGCCTGTCCAAAAGAGGAGGCCAGAGGATTCAGATGGGGCAGGTAAAACAGTCTCCTAAGAAAAAAAAAACCCTAAACCTGCAGCCTTTGTGCTGGATGTGAGGCTTATCCACCCACCAAGCCCCCTCCAAGCATGCAGAAGACTCGGATGAAGACAGTCACGTGGCTGCCTGCCGGGCGAAGGTGGCACTACTAAGCTCAAGGCTGCATTCCAGTAGGGTGCTGCCAGTGGGGGCAGGGACCCAATAAGACCCAGTAAGAGTCCGGAAGGGGGTCTTTGTTACCTGAGGGGTAAACAGCACGTGTAAAGGCCTGGGGGGTGGGGCAGGTGGAAGCCACACATCTTAGGTCTATTTGGAGCAGACCCTGTGTGTGGAGGGGAGAAGACAGGGAGAGGGCTTTGACAAGGTCACTCTGACGCCCAGTGGAGGCTGTTTGGAGTAGGCGGCACGGATGGAACCAGTGGGGGAGGCGAGAGAAGCTTGTTTTCAGCCCCACGAATTGCCTGCAGGGAGAAAATAAGTGTGTTCAGTGCTGCTGAGAAAGCAGAAGCAGCTTGGGGACGCTGTCCAGGTGGGGCAGGCTTGGGAGAGGTTGGGGGGAGGGGGACTGAGGGCTCTGGGGGGGACGGAGGGTGCCCGGAGGAGATTCAGGGAGGTAAGGGGGCAGTCGGGAGAATTCAGTGGAAGGGACTGGGGGGGAGGGGGGGCGGTGCGCTATTTGAAACGGGGAGGGAGGGCCCAGGAATTGGTGGGGGTGGGGAGGAAAGCCCCAGGAAGGAAATGGGAGTTTAGGGAGGTGATTATAGCCCAGGAGGGGGCTCATTAACTTGAAGAGGGTTTTGGAGGAGGGATGGGGATTCACTGCCAAGAATGGAGCTATGGTTTCTGGGATGGGAGGGAGACCTGGAGAGCGAGCTCCTGGAAAGTGGAAGTGGGGGGCAATGAGAGAATGGAAGCTCAGGGAGGGGAAGGGTGTCAGTCTTGAGGCTTAGGAAGGGATGAAGAGGGCAGAGGCGTATTTTGGAGGGCAGAGGTGTATTTTGGAGAGCAGACTTGGGAGATCTGCCAGGGCCAAGGGCCCAGCCTTTGGGATGGAAGTCTCTCTGATCCTGTCCAAGTGGGTGGGGCAGGGATGAGGGTCACCCTGTTTTGATCTGTTCTTTTCAGAAATTTTGGCCTTACCACAGCCACAGCCCTGCACCTGCTTCCAGAAAGCATCAAAGCAATGTGGCTTAAAGATGTTTGGGTGTCCACACCATTGTTAAATACTTCCCTGATGTTTTCAGTCCTCAGAACAACCCTGGAGGTAGAGAAGATACTCACCTCATTTATAGATGAAAAAATTGATTCAGAGACATAGAGCAAGTGACTTGTCCAAGACCACAGGAGAAGTGGGCAGACATAGTCTGACTCTGAGCCCCTGGTCTCTCATAACAATTTAAACTAAGAAAAAAAAATCTTGCTTAGGAAATTCACTCCAAGTTTAAATAAATATAGGAAATGATTTATTTATTATGTACCTGGTACTGTTCTAAACTCTCTATATAAGATTCATTCCGCGTCCACAACAATTCTATGATAAGGCTTGATTGTAATGATTATTATCCTGCGTTACAGACAGGAAATTCAAGTGCAGAGAGGCAATTTACAAAGACCACTCGTGAGTAAATAGTGATACCAGAGTTCAAACCCGAGTAATCTGGTTTGGGAGTCTGCTTCGATATATTGTTAACAGTGAAAACCCATTCTACCCACATCCCTGGTAATAACCTTACTGTCAACGTTCTCAGGTCCGTTCATCTAGATCAATGTTTCTCAGCCCAGAAAGTCTGATTTCATTGGGCTGGATGGGGCCTGGGCAATGGGATTTTTAAAAGCCACCCTGGTGATTCTAATGTGCAAAGTTGAGAATCTCTAATCCAGCTATTGTGCTGAGTGTTTACACAGAAGCACCCACCTGTGTGCACACACCTATATTTAATGTGTTGTCCTAGGTGTTGGTAAGATGCCTTCTGATGTATATACACTGTGGTACCCATTAGTGGTTTTCACTGAGTGGCTGTAAATTACTATGGGTTCTCTGAGTGACTATTAGGGACACTGTAAACACATTCATTCGACAAATATTTCTTAAGCACCTACAAGATTCCCGGCAATGGCCTAGGCACTTGGGATATAGCAGTGAACAAAACAGGTGGGGTCCCTCCCTGCCTTTGAGCGCATAGTCTGTTGGAATTAACAAATTTGGTATTGTGTCTGCCTATCTGTGGCAAGCGGATAGCCGCCCTTGGAGGCTGCTGAAGGGTGAATGGCTGGCTGGGAGAGCTTAGGAAGGTGAGATTTACTGTTTGGCTGTGTGCATGGTGGGCTTCCCAGCCCAATGTGCAGATAGGTTAGAGAAGGAAATCTAGGGCATGTTTCTGGGAATGAAGGAATGTGGCTGACTGTGTGGCGTGTGTGTAAAGATGTGCATGATCTGGGCCTGTGAAAATGTAGGCAACGTATGAAGAGGGTGTGATAGGGAAGGCTGTGTGCAAGGTAAGCCGGCCCCAGCCCAGGACTGCACACAGATGGTGGCACACACACACACACACACGCACGCACACAGCCAGCAGCTGCAAGAAGGAGGCTGGTTTCCAGTCCCTGGGCACAGACTCCCAGGACCTGGAGAACTCTGCTTTGGGTATGTGGAGGAGGCACAGCTGGGGCTGGAAAGTCTAGAGTGGGAGGGAGGGAGGCTGGGGAGCCACATCCTTGATCTCTGGTCTGTTTCAGCAGTTCCGGACTTGGTGCTCTGGGTTCCTGTGAGACTCTGGGTCTCCCTCTCTCTGATGTCTGGATATTGGCATTACTCTTTCTCTCTTCTGGGTCTTGGGCTCTGATGCTGATCACATGACTCTGGGTCACCACCTCTCCAGCCTACTTGGCTCTCTGTGTCCCCCCCCCCCCAAGTCTGTCTCTGCCTGACTCTGTCTCCGTGTCCTTCCTTGTCCTTGCCAGGTGGGGGAGGGGGCCCAGTGCTCAGGGAGCAGGTGTCAGCTCACTCAGGCAGCAGGGAGTGAAGCCAAGGAGGGCACAGAGCCAGCAGCCCCTGGACACAGCCACACTCCAGGACACACTCAGGGCGCTCACAGGAATGCACAATGCCATACATGGAGAGATGGGTTCTCAGGGACATACATACAGGTGCACAATTCAACACACACCTAAGCCTAGAAACACAAGAATGCCAGACAGGATCACATGCAGATACCAAGGGATCACACACACACACACTGGCAAATACTTATTCAGGCACACACCAAAACAGTCCCAGGTACACCTGGGACATTTCTTCCAGAGAAAAACCCAGAGCCATGGGCACACAAACAGATACAAACACAGACAGCTTCAGGGATGTGCAGGCACACAGGCTCAAAGCAAACACAATCACGCTCTACAGATGTACAAAGACACAGGTACACTCAGCTACACCTGGCCCATCACACCCAGGGCCACATACATTCAGGATAGGGAGGTAAATGAGCACAGAGAGGCAAATACCCTCAAGGACAACCAGAGACCGAGACACAACAGGCACACAGGGACACACCCAGGCACAGGCAGAACATCCTCAGGTACACCGTCCCCCCTCGGGGCTCACTCGGAAGCACCTGGGGACACGCCCACAGGTGGCCTGAGCCCGGCGGGTGCGA